AAAAATAAAAACTCCTAAAAAGTAACAACTTTTTTGTTTCTCTTCAACTATTTCTCTAATTAATCTGTTTGTTATCTAAGCATTTATGACGATTAATATAAATAATTTTAGATTAAATTGATATATTGGTATTTTTATGAGAATCTTAATATATATTTTATATTTTTATATAAATATATTTGCATAGTTTTTTCGCTTTTGTTGTATACGAAATATTTTACAACATCACAAAATAGTAAATTAACTAAAAGATTGGTAGTATAACTTAATTAGATTACTTGTCAACTTCCGCCTAAATACTACGTTTACTTTCAAGGGTTGTTAATAAACAAATGTTGTTAAAAGGGTTGTTAACTAATTTATCCTTCTCGTAGTACCCCTGATGTTGACCAAATAAAACATGTTTTATGTTAGAAAACACTAGTTGAATCATCAAATTCGAAGACCGAGTGGGCATTTCGGTCATTTAACTCCTACAACTTTAAGATGGTCGGACAAGCAAGCCATAAAGTGTCTCTCTCTCCCTATCATTCTCTCTCCTCTCTATCTCCAGGTCGTTGCTGGTTTTTGCCGATTGAAATATTTTAGAGAGAGAAGCAAGAAAAGGGTTTTGGGTTCCAGATAGCAACTTAATGTTCTAATAACACTAGGAGAGAGAGAGAGAGGGAGATAGAGAGAGAGAGATAGATAGATAAAGAGAGATGGGAAGCGATAAAAATAGCTTAGTAGTTTGTCTTTTTCATCTTTAGCATTCAATTCATGCTTGAATTTCTTTCAACACCCCACCCCCTCTAGAGACTTATCCGTACATGTATAGATGTGGGGGAGATTGGTAATTATACACATATGAGTTTTGAGAGAGGTGAAGACCATCGTCGTCATCATCAAAACTACCCTTCACCGCCACCTCAAGACCACCAAGAAAAGACCAAAAACCCTCCCTTTTTGACGAATATCATGGCTACCACCAACAAAGGCTATTCAAATACATCAACCAACACTTTCTTAGACCCACAACAACATCATCATCACCATCATCAGCAGCCTCATCACCAACTACAGTTTGTCCAACATCAAGAACATCATCACCATGATAGCAATCAGATATCATTCGCTATGGTCAATCATTCCATGCCCTCGACCAATCCCACCACCACCAACGAAAATATCATGTGATCATTTGAAACCCTTTAATTTTCTTCTTTTGATCATCAAATTTTACACATACGTGTATATATCACTAGTGGCTTTAATTAATGAGAGTGTTATACACCCAGTAATTGTAGGAGCTTAGAAAAGCAACAAAAGAGTAAACTTTTGTGTTTGTTTTTACATGTTCTAATTTTCCATTTGATTTTGTATTATGCAGGAGAAGCGATGGCGGTGGGCCTTATGATTTGGCTGATTTAGATCAAGCACTTTTTCTCTACGGCGACCAAGGACAAGCTGCTACTGGTGGTGATCCCTCTGCAGCACTGTCTTCTATCCAAGATCATCAAAGACGTGAGATCGATCATATCCTCTAAAATAAAACATATTCATCTCTCTCTCTTCTTTCTCTCTCAAAAAACTTTCTTTTTTTATCATAAGAAAAGCATGTTCTTCAGGGAATATGATCTGATGGTACTTGCTTTGACCAGATCCTTTCTTTGAAGAAACCAAAAGATCTTCTTAACCCTTCACTTATATAAAAACAACTTATGTTTACTTAATTTCCAAACAATATTCTTGTTTCAAACCTTTTTTGGTCCATCTGTTTCGTATAGAAGGTTTCTTGTTTCAAGATTCGGACCATAAACATGCACCAAGACAATCTTTGTCATCGTAACTCTAATTAATTATATATCTTCCACCAAGAATTATTTTTCACTGTCGTAGATGAAAATTAATTAAAATTTAACAACGATTTTATGTTTTTCTCTTTTCCCCTAGCTACTAATTTTTATAGTAATTATCAATAAAATACGAGCGAAATAATCAAATACCTTTTTTCCGAACCCGTCTATAACTTTTGTTGATTAATTCATGTTGTATCAGTTCACCCCTATCAATTAAACTTATTTAAAAACCAAATATATTTAATTATTGAAGATTCATTAAAATTGATAATGTTTGCAGAGGGTTCGGCATCTGGTATGAGACCTCCAACTTTGAACATCTTCCCTTCCCAACCGATGCATGTGGTAGACCCTTCGACCTCTACTACTAAGGTATCATTTTCTAAACAATAAAGATTGTTTCTTTTTTAATATATAGTAGATTAATTGTTGATTGATCAAATTAATTTATTGAAAAATGAATTTGTAATTGTGTATTTGGTAGGCAACTACTGGATTAGTTTCTCCATCAAGCAGTGGTTCAAGAAGACCATCGGAGCAGTCTATGGATAACATTGCCAACCACAAAAAGGATGCTCCTCCACCTGCCCCTCAATCCTCTAAAGCTATCAAGGTAACCATACTTCTTAATTTGTCGTATTCTTTTAAGTGTTTATTTATCAACTTATACATATAAAATTTCTTATCTTGTATATACAAGATATGGGTTTCACTATACTTCTTCATCATATTTTGTATAATTATACTTGATTCATTTATTTTATTTTCACTGTTGATGTAGAACGAGGGAAACAAGAAAGGGCCTTCAACTAGTTCAGATCAGAATCGCCCGAAAACACCGGATCCTAAGGTTCTCTATTATTGATTTTAATTTGTGAAAAAGAAGAAAATAATTTCAATACTAAAAATGTAAGAAATGAACCGTTTAACATGTTTGATCTTATTAAGCAGACATTGAGGAGACTTGCTCAGAATAGAGAGGCAGCAAGAAAAAGCAGGCTGAGAAAAAAGGTATGAAATTTATGAAAAAGAGAAAAATTTTGTCTGTATACGTTTCACAAATGTTTGTTACACCTCGGTAATATAAATTAATCTTCCATGAATTTCCGTGCATCGTTTTGTGTTCCTTTTACAGGCTTATGTTCAGCAGCTAGAATCAAGCAGAATTAAACTTACCCAATTGGAACAAGAGTTGCAAAGAGCGAGAGCTCAGGTGATTATATATTTTTTTAATTGTTTTCTAGAAAATAAATTCTACTTAAATGCATGGGTTATACCTTTATATTTTTTAAGATTCATGGGTTAATTTTGTGATGTTTTGTTTCTGTATTGTAATTTTAGGGGGTTTATCTTGGTAATGGCGGTGGTGTTCTTGGAGCTGATCAAGGTGTTCCTCTTGGCATGAGCAACATAAGCTCAGGTACGATAACAAAGTTAACTAAAAACGATCATCAATTACTGATCTACTAATTTGATCTTTGAAGGCTTGTTCATGACTTATGAAAAAAAACTTATAATAGATGCTGCAGTTTTTGACATGGAGTATGCAAGGTGGCTGGAGGACTACCATCGTCAAATGTGTGAGCTTCAAGCTGCAGTTCAAGAACACTTGCCAGAAAACGAGCTCCGAATCTATGTTGATAACTGCATAGCACGTATTGATGATGTGATGAATCTGAAGAGCATCGTTGCTAAATCTGATGTTTTCCACATCATCTCCGGTACCTGGAAAACTCCTGCTGAGCGGTGCTTCATGTGGATTGGAGGGTTTCGACCATCTGAGCTCATCAAGGTTTAAACTTATCTCCATACATAAATACATATAGACACATATCTCTATACATACAAACACACACAAAAGCAAATAAGAACCCTAAATATAAAACACTAAAATGAGAGAGAAAGCATGGTACATGATCCTCAAAATGCCACAAGAATAGTCAAAAGTGTGAAAGTGTTGCAGTGAAACCTTCTAAAAGAGGACACTCTGGTCCCCAGTATGTGCAACCACACATTTTATCGTGTATGTGTTTGAGATATTTTAATTTATTTTTATTTAACTTGATATAATTAAGGTTACAAATTAAAATTTTAATATATTATTTATAAAATATATTTTTACCAAATTAAACTAATCATCCTCTAGAGATTATAATGTATAAAAGTTCAAACTTATTTAACTGAAATAAGGTAAAAAAAAGTTATTATTTGGATA